GTGAATCAGACCTGGTGAATAATGTATAAGGTACAAGCTGTGAAAACCTGGACAGCACTGTAGGCAGCAAGCAGTGACTAAATGAAAGTTTAGAGCATTCAGACAGACGGCATTCACTAGTGCTGTGCCGTATCCACCCACAGACAGCGGTATCTTCATCAGCTCTGCTTTGTTTAAAGGGGCCTGTCAAAAAAACAACATTTATATAGTGAAACAGATTGCTCAGTGTCTGTTTGGAGAAATGATGCCATTAAGGGCAACAGAACGCCACTGAAGGAAACTGCTAGGGGGAAAATGGTGCTTTACAAATTGGCAGACATTTTCTTGTGCTGAAAGTTAAGGAGATTGCCAAATGACTAGTTAGCAGGCTGAGAGAATGAAAAAAAAACTGGTAAAACATTATGATTTATTTCACATTAAGACAATGGAGGGATTGGCATGAGCACTTCACCGCTAAAAGCTCTCCTAGAGGTCTGCCACAAAACCAGTATTAGTGGTTTAGTGGTTTGAAATTTGATTCATCCCAATGAGTTGAATGTTTTAAATCTGCAGTTTGTTCATGATATTTGGTCTGAAATCGCACCTATTTGTAGAGGTGCCTGAAACCATAGTGGACATTATTGAGTATGCTCATTCAATCCCATAATGCACCGTAATAACGTGTACAACCGATGTACACAGAGAATATGATGCACTTCGAGCATCACGCCAAATTAATTTCTGCATCTGGCCAAAAGATAGTGTCCACAGCGCACTCAGACTCCAAATTTGCTCAACCTTTCAAATTTACCGTGGTCTGTATTAGTGGAGTAGGGAATAGTGAATGAGAGTATAAGAGTCAATTTCAAAAACAGCACTATAATATAATCATATCTGCTTTCCCACACACAACAATGTATGAAAATCAATATCTGATTAGTAGAATCATAACTCATCAAATATGAGCAAAATTTAACAATTTTTTCTGTAAACACTTCCCTATGAACTTTATCCAGACATCACTCATTTAAAGATTAATGTTTTTTATTTAGCTCCACAGTCCTGCTGGGCAAAAACAGTCATTTAATTTAAAAGAGAAGACATTATCAATTTTATCTCTGACTGTTGTGTTAACTGACAACTGAAGGCCAAAGTATACATCAGCCTATGTCATTTTTGTCATCAAAAGGTCTCGTGGACAGCCGCGCACCCCATCTGCGTTCAGACAATTTTTTGAGACCGCGCGGACGGTGTGTGTACAACAGCGCATGCGCGAGGTGAATGTTGAGACAAGTGGTACTGCGCATGAGTCGAGCTCGTCCGTTGTCTTGTCCAAATACCCACACTTGCGGTCTTTGCACTCACTTGACTACTTTTATGACGTATTTCCTATTTTTGGTCAAAGTGTTCAAATGAGCATGAAGACCACAAGTGTATGTAGAACTTTTCATTACCTGATAGGACACACTTAGGCTATAGTGTTGTAAAAATGCAAGTGTTTACAGAGCTTTATTTTTTATTTTCAATACTTTGCATTTTAAAATCAACTTCTAAATGTCTGTTCAGTGTCTCTATAACAGATTACAATTAAATTTTGTGGTGCTTCTAATTAAGTGATAAAAAGCAGTTGCAAATATATCACCACTACTCATTTGCACCAATAAAAAAATTGTGAGATCTCGGCAAATAGTCTCATGATTTATTTCCAGAACATGATGCATGATGGGATACACTAAGCCTTATTTATTATGGATTTAGTGTGAGTTAAGGGCACTGCGCTCTTGCGTTTTTAAGACCTGGGACAGTCTTGCGCACTTACTTCCTGTCACGCGCACGCGCTCTCAAGTGGCCAAGACCGCAAGTGTGGGTATTTGGACAAGGCATGTCTGCGCTCATCCGCAGTTGAGTATACTTTGAAAGCTGTGCACGAGACGGAACGAAACGTGGAATATGAAGTATACCCGGGCCTTGATGCTCTAGAAAAAAGAAAAAAAAAGAAAATTATAGTAAGTTGGTAATTCCTTAGCTGAAAAACTGGCACTTCGGAATGGGTGGCAGTGATACATCTCTCCAAAGCGCACACCATACTTTCATTACCTCTCGTCTATTCCCCTGTAGGCCAGCTGCCATGCCAGCTTGGATCCTGTTAATGCACTAAAACGGGAACATAATTTCAAGGTCTCCGGGAATAGCCTGCTCTTTCCGGCCTTTTTATATTTATTTATTTTATCCAGAGTCACCTGTCGAGTGGCTGTGATTATGCATGCATGACTGGGCCTGGGCCATGCAAATCCTCCGGGCTCTTTCGCAGAGGGCTCGCTGACCTGCTTCCTGCTTTCATCCCGCCTCTAAGTACCGATCACAAATGGCCAGGAACTAAATAAACAGCACATGAAAGGCACAGAGCATGGAGGAGAGGGGCCACATGGCCAAACAATCCCTTCCCTATCCTGTCGTAAACAGCTTGGAATGTTCACGCAGAGCTGAGCACATTCACCAATGCCTCAACAGCACTGTCTGTTATGCAAATGAGCTGGATTTCATTTCTATTCTACTGTTCTCAATAAAAATATTAATATTACCCGGCCTGGTCTGTGTGTTTACTTGGCCCCTGTCTGGAGGCTCTGAATGCTAATATATTTGGCTACAATTTAAATATTGATATACAGTTTAGTGAACTACAGTGAAGATCATATAGTACATACAGCTGTCTGAGGAAATATACTTTAAAAGCAGGTGGGGAAGGACAGGTATAATAGATAACAGAACATTTTGAATTACAGGTACACTGTGTAATGCAGCAAACTGTAAGGGATTTTTCATTGAACAAATAAGTGAGTATATTAAGAAAACATTGTGATTAAGCAGGAAAAAAAATTGTATGTGGGGTATTTGTCAATGATTATTATTATTATTATTATTACTATTATTATTAAATATTGTTATTATTTCTCTTTTTTATTTTCATTGTGAGAGTTATTGTAATTCTGGTTTAAAACTCCAAAATAAAGTATTCAAAAAAACGTTTTACTCATATATCTTATATTAAACATCATGGGACCAAACTGGCATCACATGAATGCTTGTCTGAATGCTATTAGCTTTACCTCTGTAATCACTAGCCTATATAATCATTAACAATTTCATTAACTGAAATCATGACTAACTGAGAAAATCACATTTCTATAATGCTATTTGTCACTGACATAATTAAAATAGTTACTACTACTTTTAACTTGACACTGGACAAATGCAAAACAATTCACAATGTAATGGCCAATGGCATTTGTTTCTTTGAAGAGGATTTAAAGGCACACTGACTCTGAGAGGGTTTTATCATGCAAACAACTGAAGCACATCACATCAGGCACTAAAATATCATAAATTTTTATCCATTAATAAAAACAAAAACACTTGATGACCTCTCTAATTGCTGTTGAATGACTGGTGGGCTAGTCGACCACCGTGATCCTTGTTAAATATGAAATGGTTAGATTATCTGACCTATTTCTGTGTATGTGCCCTACCAATTACAATCTGAGAGGAGAAGTTAATATATGTGTGTATTCCTGTATGCATCCATGTTTCCCTGAAGCGTTCCCTGCCACATACAGCATACTAATTCAAGTCTTTCATTCATATTCATTGTACAGAAAATTGCTATTCCAGACATAATCTGAATAATGCTTCCATATTCAAGCTCTCCTGTCACCGTTCTGTTGGTTTAATATTAAACTTACGACTTTACATTTCCATATATTCTTTTTCATAACCTTTTAAGTTCACAGCATGCCAATAACACTCCCACCTTTCCAGCTTTTGAAAAGAGATCATACAATTTAAATCAGGGCTTGAGTTTTCCATTTGTTTTGAGTCAACAGGTAAAAGGCAGCCAGAGCCTCTTCAGATAAAATGTATCTGTCATTTTTTGTTAAAATGACAACAGTGAGGATACAAATCAGTCTGCTGTGGCACTCAGAAAACAGCATCTGAGGCCAAGGGAATGAGTGCCACTTGTTCAGTAGTACAAGAGGGAAATTGCCCCCCTCTGCAGCACACACAATATTGCAGGTGCTTAAATTATTCATCCTGTAGGAACGCTGGGGTCCCACTCAGAACCAAAACTCCAGCCTCTTAATCTCCACTTTATATTCCATTTTATATTATAGAGTTTTGTTTACCCCGAAAGGGAGATAAAGAGCTATTTTTTCCCCAAAGGCATAAAGGTCTAGCTTTGTTCCTACTATTGAGAACAAAGAAAACAGTTGTGTGTCATTTTAATATATCACTATGCAACAGTTTCTGTCAGTTGGCTTTGTCTTCCTGGCAAACAGGCATAAGAATTGCACGCATTTGGTTCTTGAGTAATTGTGACCCAAAGAATGCCAAATGAATGAATTACCCAGGGTTTGCACCACTACTGATTTTGAATAGTCAACTCGTCCAGAAAAGTAATTGATGAGCTGTTGTTGGTCATTGTTTACCTTATGTAAATGATTCACCATATGCCATTTAGCTTTCTTTGCTGTTTCTGGCAAGTTGTGCTGATGGATGGAAAGGGTGTGAGCGTAGATGGAGAATGTCCGAGTAAGCACTCATATCTCTTCATCGCCAGATTCATGCTGCTTGCATTGAAAATAAAATGGCATGCAGAGCAAAATAGTCATGTAGGCCTAGTTTCTGTCAATGTTTGTGCAATACTTGACTTGTTTCAGGGGAAATACACACATTTTGTCTTGTATTTGAACAAACCACATCAAGACCATCTCAGTTTACAGTACTTATAGCATGTTTTATGCATACAAAAAGTTACATTTTGTTTAAACCTTTGTTAAATTTCTATTGAAAATCAGTGTTGTGACTTGCAGAGGACAGAGAGACTAAAATAGCATGTTTTAATGTGAATGATTACCTACTGTTTTTGAATTCATATTCACATTTAACCAGAGTGACTTGGAGAAAATGGAGAATGCTTCACTTTGTTAATAGCATGCACAGTCATCCACTTACTCCAGTCGTTTTCAGTGTGTATTAGTGACGTATTTACCCAGAATAGCCCAGTTTGGGTGAGCCCTTCTGTTTCTACTGGGGTCTTGAGGTTCAAGTGGTCTTGACCTGCCCTGGGATCCTCTCCCTGGGGCCACGGTGATAGGACTGCTCCAGGGACCGCCATTAGTCCCTCCCTCTGCAAAGAGACTCACTGTACTCAGCAACTTCCACTTACTCAAGTGAAAGTTATTTTAAAGGACGCCAACTGAGATTAGGAAGAACATATGGTGGGCTATATTAATTGGTTCTGTTAAATGGATTTAACAAAGGAAGAATAAGCTGCTTGTTTTTCCAGATCTTCAGATGCTACTGTGATACATATGATCCTGTTAATGGAATGTTTCTGCTGTCGTAGTAATGAAAGTAATTTTAGCATTCAAAGTCAATCAATCACATTGCAGAGCAATTAACAGCACATCTGAAACAGACAATGCTCAGCTAAACACAAAGACGAAGAGCTGTACGCTGGGGAGGCGAAGACACAAAAACAAGATTAAAGCCATATAATACAAAGCTGGAAAAAGCACAAAAGGATTTGACAACCTGGAACACCCAACAAAAAGAATAAGGGAGCTAGTCAGACCAAAGGACCCAAAGACTGTGAACAACAACGAGAAGAAGATGCATTCACAGGCAAAGAAAAGGAGATGGCAAGGTTAAAACAGGGGGGAATCAACAAAAAGCAGAGGTGAAGCAAAAGAGAATTATGGGAGTATAGTTCTAAACAAAACTAGAGCAAGCACAGGAAGTCCATACCCAGCATCTGAATATATGTACTTCCTTAATAAAATATTATATAGGATGGCAAAAGCAGTATGTCCAAATCTGCAGTGTTTATGAAACCATATGTAAAAAAAACAAACACAAAAAAACTAAACAAAACAAAGGACACTTTGCTATCCCATGAGGCCATGGAAGAGGAGTAAGAGAAGTCAAATATTACAGAACAGTGATTTGGCTGACTTTGTAAGTCACATGACAATGCCAACATGGCAAATTTATTATACTTGGGGGGGTAAAAAAAAAAAAACTATAGGCCTAAATGCTACTCAAATGGTAGTACGTGAGTTAATTTTATTCAAGTCAAAACACAATTTAAAATCACTAAATCAACATGAATACATTTGGTTACACAAACAGAAATAAATATAAAAGGATAAACTGCTCAGTCAGTATGATTTTTGAAAGAAGACTCACCAAGGCTGCGTTTATTTGATCAAAATACGGTAAAAACAGTAATATTGTGAAATATTATTACAGTTTAAAATAACAGTTTTTATATATTTTAAAATGTAATTTATTCCTGTGATGGCAAAGCTGAATTTTCAGCAGCCATTACTCCAGTCTTCAGTGTCACATGATCGGTGTTACCTAAGGTAACAACTGAAGGTCAACAACAACAGAAAGTCCAAGTTACTTTTGAGTGCTGTTGAGATACTCGCTCCCATAAAGACCCATAGAAATCAGTTACATGAGGACTGCAAAAATGAAATAAACCATATTAACAAAAACTATTACTGTATTTATAAAAATATAAACATTAAAAATAGCTAATTGATTTTCTAGGAATTCAGCAACAATGAGAATATATTTACTCTGCAGTCTATGAAATATTGTGACTAGGACTGATGTTAAATTAATGATGTTGCTGTGATCGTGGGAGGCCTTTATACTTCACTTTATATTTGTAGCATAAAAAGGAGTGAAATGAAAGCACAACAGAGGATTTGAGTGAGGGGGGTTGATAATTTGTAAGACTGGGACACAGCCAGGAACAGCTGGATACAAGGGCAGCTGTTTTTTCTTTAATTATTAAAAAAAAAAAATTGTAGGTCCTGAATGTTTGTGAAGAGCAGCTGTGATTAGACAAACAGAGAGAATAAAACAGAGAGATGCTCTGAGAGGAAGTGCAGTGCATCTAGTCTGGTCCAATTGTAGGTCATGAAGCAAATGCATGATTAGAAGAGTCAGAGGCACGCTGAGATGAAAATCATGTATTAATGTTTCTTTTCCCTCATGGCTTTCAACTTTTATTCATTTGCAACTTTTCTCATCCTTTCTATCACTTGTTCTTTCATGCCCTGCCAGCCTCTCTTTTCCTTTCCCACCAAGCGCTTGCCAAACCCTCGGTGAACCAGAGGTCTTGGAGAGATTGTGCTAGCCGATTCCTCATTATATTGAAAGGCTTTAAACTCTGAGCGACAGAAAACATTTTCAAGAGATTTCCAGACAAAGCCAACATTTCTCAACTGTCTGGACAACACTACCAACATTGGGGTAGTGTTGTCAACAAAAGCCAGAGACCACTATTGAAATGCTTCTAATGTGCATTTTTGTTTTAAACATTTAATACAGTTTATTTATTAGAAATTGCATTGTCAGGATAACAGTTTGAGTTAAATTGAGTTGATTAGTGGCCCATTTTTTTATTCATTCATTTATTAGTAGTATTATTCATTAATTTATGAGTATTTTTTAACATAGAAGTCTAAAATGGAGATTAGTTAGTATGTTTTTAGTTTAAGTGTTGGTGTAGTTGTATAGCAGCTGTTTATAAATCCTTTGCGCCGTGATTTACAGGATTACTACTTCCTAAAAGTCCATTTATTACTGTCTCCTGTGTACATCCCTCCCACCTGTTTAAAAACAGAGTAATTATGTGGTTGCCCCATCTACCTACTCCCTTACTGGCACTTTTTGCTGTGGTAATTGTGTAAATTTTGCATGCATCTGTGGTGACTGGCCGAGGCTGGAGCTGGCACGGACATTGCCCCTACTGATTCCAGCTGTCAGCAGTGTCTATTAACAATGATGAATCACTCCCCCACTTCTCAATCCAATCATAGAGACCACAGCAGGCCTTAGATCTGGTCACCTCTGACTAAATGATTTTTGGACAGAGTGGGGCGGCACGCCAGAGCACCCAGTCAACACTTTGTGTTAGATTACGCTATTAGCCTGCAGGCTTCTGAGCTTTACATCTTCCAGTCTGCCCTTGTAACTGTGGTATGTTACTCAAATGGCAAAGCAAGACACACAACCACCACAACATGTAGAGCTCTCTGTTTTAGCAGCTCTTTGTATTCATACTGGCATGCAAAGACAAGCACAGTAACTTCACATGTTGTTAAATCTGAATTATGATTAAACTGGGTCTCTTAGAGTCTGATCTATAACCTATGACAGATAGGTTTGGCTCAGTTATGCTCAAATCAATAGCAACCTATCAAAATTTTATCAATTATTATGTTTCAGTGTTGGTGTAGTTACTGCATTTTGTCTTTGTAAGACAGGAACTTTTCCATGACATTCTAATTTATTGAGATGCACCTGTATATCATTGCACCCATATAGACACATCAATGCTGTTAGTGTTAACTAAACACACTAAAAATGTAAAGAATTTTAAAATATTAATTGAAATTAAAGTGCAATAAAATGTAAATTTTATTTGCAACAAACTGCAAATAATATTTCGAAAAATATAATTATTATAATTATTGTTTTATTTATTCATGTATTATAAAAATGTGGGAAAAAACATGAAAAACAAACAAAGAAAATTATGTTGCTTTGGCAACTAACAGAAATAAAATAAGTTTAAATTGAAGTACTAAAATTACTAAACCTAAAACTGAAATAAAAATAATTTAAAGAGAAAAAAACTAATAAAACTGACAAAAAGTACATACAATTATTACAAGATAAAATAAAACTTATTCTAATCTTAATAGAAGAATAGAAATAATTCTAAATTAACACTGACAAACACGTACAGACAAGCACAAACATATTTAACTTAAAATAACATTAGAAGAAAAACAATTTACAATTAAGTGAAATTAGTTTTTCATGCTGTTATCAGTGAGAGTGTTTGATTTCCCTATGCTGTGCCTCAGAGGAGAGCAAAACAACAGCATGAATAAATGATGAAAGTGAACAGGGGCTGCCATAACACTAAAAACTTCAACAAACTGCAAATCTGCAAAAACCTTTTCACTGCCATTCTTTGGTAGCACAGCTGAATATGCTGCCACAGCTATTACAGTTGTTAAAACACAGACATATGCAGTATCAGATATTGGTGATGTACAACTTTTGAAAGTCTAAAATAAACAAAGAAACCAAAAATACTACATTGAATTGCATAGGCAGAGTTATTCCATCAGCAGTCTGCATCATAGATAGTAGATGCTATCATCTTTTTCATCTCTCTTTTCATCGGTGTGGCCCTGCAGGTTAGAAGTCAAGGTCAGTGGGTATCAATCACTATTCTTAGCTTTCCACTTTTCTCTCATCATCTCCCTCACCGTCAGGAGAATGTTTGACCTCCAGAAAGCAGAAAGACAGACGGTGGACTAGATGTGATGGGGTTATGTGATGAGCTCTATGCCACATCAAATCTAGTTGACATCATGCTGTACAGTCAGTCTGTTAACATTTCCCTCAAGAGCTCCTGCAGTCCTCCATCAAAGCCCTAAATGTTCTCTGCACGTCTCTACACTTCATCAATGGCATGTAGCCAATAACAAGCTCAGTGTTGACAGGGGTGAGCTGATCTCTTAAAGGGGAACGCTGTTAATCGAGATTACTGTAACTATTAGTTTTGTTAGCCAGATCGTACACTGGACATCATCTTGTGACCCAAAACAGTAAAAAATTGTTTACTGTATAAAGTGTCACAAAATATGTAACAAAATGCCCTTTAAAAATGGCATTGTATAGTAATATTACCATGTGGTACAAAAAAAAAAGACAAGCTATTTCTAAACACATTTCTAAACAAATTAATATTTTCTAATCGATGTAGATTCATTTCTAAACTGCAAAAAACAATGAATATAAAAAAAAAGATTTTTAGATTTTTTTAAAATTATATTAGAACACAAGTTTTAGTACAAATTACAACTGTAAGAGTATAATCGTAAGAGCAAAATCTTAAAATACAAATCTTAAAAAAAAAAAAAAAACTGTTTTTTTCACTGATGGCATTTGAGATTTTGTCAGACTTGTATGGAACTGCTTTGCATTTCACTTGAGTTTTAGCATGTCCTATACTGTACTGCAACTGTATACCTGAGCATTACCAACAGACAGATACTCCTCTGATCCATCTAAACGGAAGAGCTAAGGCGACAAGAAAAAGAGAGAAACAAAAAAATCGATGGTTTCTTGTACTCACAGCTTCAAGTTTCTATTTTAACATGGCTCGCTATTGATTAGCTTTCATAGCTGAAGTCTCCCTGAGCAGAAGCTCGCTCCAGGAGGATAGAAGAGAGTTTAGCAGAACAAAACCCACAAAATAGAGAGAGGGGAGCTGGGAAATGATAGCCTGATGCTTCCTTGGCCTGCCTGATCCGCACTAACAGTCTCTGCTTAAACACGGTCAGCGTACAGTTGCCAACATGAAAGGCTTTTGTATTGCGTGATGGACTTTCCCAGAACAGCACCGTGGTGCACAGAGCTTTTATAGTGGGGAACGGAGGCTGACTTCGAAGGGTGAATCGTTTAAGGAGAGTTTGCCAAGTGCTGTGCTCCCACTCCCGCTGAAATGAAAGGAGTTCCGGTGCTTTGTGTCAAAAGAGGCATCAAACACCTGTGCAACGGAGAGCAATGCTGGGTCGGCAGTGTGTGGAAACAGCAGAACTGTGGAGAAGTGCCATGTGTTAAATACTTGCTAATTAAAAACCCACGCTACATAATACTTGTACTATAATCTTACATAAATTATGTCCATGTTCTGCTGTCATGGTGAGTTTATGTTGACCAGTGTACTCTGTGAAACAGTGTGTTCTCGGTCTGGAACTGATTAACCCGAGCGTTGCTTCGGCACTAGCTATGTGTTGACAGCTTCACAGCGTCATGTCAGTATAGGGATTTTCTGAAGTGTTGCGCGGCAAGTCTGGAAGGTCATACCACTCGCACTGCCTAAAGTTGACAACAAAGGGAAAGGGAATGCTAGAACCTAAGAATGCTAGAACGAATGCTAACCACAAAACATCAAAATTGCAAAGTAAACATACTAAATGTTGATAAACAGAAAGACAGATATAGATAGGTGATACACAGATGGAAAGATAGATAGATTTCATTCTGAGTGCTAGATGCCTTTCATATCTCCACAATGGCAGCCACACAGTTGTTACAACAAAAAGCACTCCAGAGAGCCCACGAAACAACACATTTATACAGCGTCTCATCCTTATTCATAGCCATGCTTTCTAAAATTGTTTGATGTCCTGTTCTTTTTCTCATAGCTACCCCATCATTTAGGCAATTTCAGCCCAGCCAACACAAGCAGCATAGCAGACTGGCTATTACACTTTGTGTCACATTCTCCCCCCGGCCCCATTTATTTCACAGGGCAACTGAACGCTAAATGACAATTGGCTTATATTGCCAAGGACTTTATCAACAAACTCCCAATTTTACACCATGCATCTCCATGACAATAATGGCTTTTGTTTTCAAACTTGTGCATTTTTATTTCCCCTCGCAACAAGATTAAATTACTACTGCCGAGGCCAAGTTCAGATATTCTGCAACAGAACATGGTAGAAACAGATACTGCTGAGATACAAAAAGAAAGTGTTTCAGCATAGGAGAGTAAAGGGTACTCCGAGTGTTCAGGCGCTTAGTTTCTCTCGGTTTTCCTCCTGCATAAAGCCTAATGATGTGGAGGTAATACAAAGTCAACTCAGATCAGATGACAAGAGAGTGCCAAATAAGTGTGAATAAACTAGCTGTGAAACGTGGTACTTTCCTCACTCCTTTCAGCGTACTATCTCCTACTTACTAATTCCCTCTATTTACAACCTTTCCTTGCAGTTTTAGTGAGAAATCCTACCAAATTATGGTGTTCCTTTTCCAAGCGTTTGTATAATCACACCTAAAACCTTCTACTGCTATTGAAAAGACCAGCATAAGTTGCATTTTGAAAGCCAGTGTTCTGGTGTCCCCTCCAGACTTCTTAAAGGGATAGTTCACCCAAAAGAAAATTCTGTCATCATTTACTTGTTGTTCCAAACCTGTATGATTTTATTTCTGTAGAACATAAAAGAAAATATTTAGAAGAATGTTGTTAACCAAACCAGCTCCCAATAAATTCAATTTTATTTTTTGTCCGTACAATGCAAATCAATGGGAACCGAAACTGTTTGGCTACCAACATTTTTTAACATATGTTCTTTGTGTTCCACATACAGATTTGGAACAACTTCAGAGTGAGTAAATGATGATAGAATTGTCATTTTTGGGTGGACTATCCCTTTAAATATTCTAACCGGCAAAACTTGGAAAACGAAAAATGTAAAAACACCCGAAAACTTAATTCAGGCCAGGTGAACGGGATCTCAGTCAACTTCCCATCTAAACAGTTTACATTTTCCTGTCCTCACCTATTTGTTGACATTTCAGGCCATTTCGAAGCAAGACATCTGCATTTATGAGCAGAGGGAGACACACCTGCAAACCCAATCCATCTGCAGCTCTACTATAGAAACTAGAAACTTTGACCCCTGCGTCACCCCATCTTTGGATTTGTTTTATTGGCATTGAGGCATATGAGGGCACTTCAGGCAAATAAGGGGCAATAGTCCCAAGAGAGAGGAAGCCCTGCAGCATTCAATAAGCCATTTAATCGAGTGGAGAGCAGCCATCAAAACAGGTAAAACCCAGCAGGATACTCAGCAGGAAAACAGGGGGAGAGGTAGTTTTCATGAGGACTCAGTATGTTTCTCACAGGCAACACACAACTGTGCTCAACACCGCAATAGAGCACAGCTGTGTTTTATAAAGGGAGACCATAACATTAACATAACATTTTGTGTCTGGCTATTTTAGCTTTTATTTTAAAATATGCTGTCAGTGATGTCATGAACAATATAGAATTTTACTTCTTTAAAGTGTGGGATTTCAAAAACAAATGGCTGCAAATGCAATGATGGTAAAAAGTGCAGACATGTTCCATTTCTGAGATTTATAGCTGTAAAAATTATTATCTAAGGGGACATAAATTAATTATGTAACACTCAGCTAACAAATTCAAACTCAATCAGTGTAAAATATTAAATATTATATAGGGTATTAGGTATTTAAATTTATATTCAAAGGTCCTCTAAGTTCAGTTACTGGCCAGAGAAATTAAAGATGCAGCCCAAAATTATCATAAGCATAACTATATTGCTGAGACATTTAGACTTGCTTATTGTTACCATATCTCCACCACATTAAAACAAACACATAATGTAACTAAATCAGCCCAAACCAATTAAACATGTACATTAAATTAAAACAAAAGTTCATCTTTAATCTTCTAACTGTTAAAAAGGAACTGATAATAACTCTGTGACATACTACTCCCAGACACCAAGACTGTAGTCTGCTTTGTCTCAGTGTCTGTGTCATAAAACCCCATGTAGGTGGGGAACTTATTCTCCGCTTGGCCTGTTCTTAGCCGTGGAACTCAGCCGTCAATCAACGTAAAAAGCTTTCCACCAGGGAATATGGAGCACCCTCAGATTTAGAGCACTCTTCCGTAACTTTCTGCACTCACAGCCACAGAGAGAGAGAGAGTTACATGTTATTTTAATTACTGTGGTGTTTACCACCTTATTCCGGTTCCCTAAGGGAAGCTCTACCCAGGCTTTGTGGTTCTTCGCTTTCATTATTTTGATTGACATTACTTACCAGTGACATTGCATTTGGAAGGTTTAAGTTTCCTCTCAAGTTTAAGTTTTTTTCGTTTGTTTTTTAAACTACAAATGTGTAACAGCTGGGACACATTAACCAAACGTTAACACACTTTCACACAGTAACCATTATCTATAAGTAAACGTTACCAAAATATACATTTATTATTTAAACATTATTTAGTAATAAAATATTTATTAGTACATGTTTATTCATATAAAAAAATGTATTATGCCTATTTTTTATTTGATATTTTTCAAAAATCAGTCATAAATAATGCATTTCAAGAAGCATTTAAAAATATTTTAATGCAAGTTGTTAATCAAATTAAGTGTTGTTCTTCTTCCTTTACCCTCTCTGTCTAATGTTAAGAAAATCAGTTGGTGCAGAAAATGAAAACTTTCAATCTGACTTCGTCTGGCGCTGTTAAACCTTTGCTGTCACCATCTGTTGTGCACACCTTTGACAGCGCATCACCGCTCTTTTTTTATGAGGGCCCTCTCCATGCTGAAGTAGGGAACAACATTGCCACCTAGAGGAAGATCCAGGCCAGCATCCAGCATTCTCAGGCCAGATTCACACAACCCCTGCAACCCTTACAAACATTTTGCCTCAGTATCCCGAGCCACATTTAAAAAGTAACTTCATTGCAGCCCCTCCCCCAAATAAAACATTCAAATGCTATACTGTCACATCAGCAACACCTCGCTTCGGCTGCATACCCGGACCAAACTATTGCATTGCCCCAAGAGTTGGCTGAAGTGTACAGCATTTATAAAGGTTCACTGAGCACTAACCATGAACATTCAGAACTATATCTCCCCATGCAAGATCCAGAGGATCAGAGACCAGAAGATAGCATGCATCCACAAGGGCATATAGAGGAAAAAGAGGGAGGAAAACAAGTAGGACATGGGAGAAAATACCATTCCCACTGGTTAAACTACACCAAATCTAAGTCTTTTTCCACATAGCAATAAAACCAACAGGCTTTATTTGATCCACTTGTTGTTAAAACAAATTAAGCGGATTAAAAAAGCACATCCTACCTGAATAGATGGGAGCAAGTCGAAATATATCAGAAAGCCGGCTGTTCACAGGCTCATATGGAGAATCCTCAAGTAAATCATTCCCTGTAATATTAACAAATAACATGTGACTAAATACCAATAATTAAATTCTACATCAATTATGAAATCTTAAGTGCATCATAAATGTCATTATTAAATGTGAGGGTCAAACTATAAAGCTGTAAACTCTACTTTATGTTAGTTGGTATTTGGGTCATTGATTCATGAGACGGATTTACATTTCCGGAGCCAGTTTCTGGTTGATTAGCTATACTGGTCAGTTGAGCCCCCCTCCAGCACACATACATATACACTAACATAAAGCATCAGATGACCTCACACTCCATAAACTTTAATGGACACACTTCAGAGAGGAGTTTGAAGACTTTACAGTGACCCTATCTGATAACAGAACCCAGAAAAGCAACTTCCTTGGCTTAGTATTATTGCTTGCTAAGTATTAAAAATAAACAATGTCAGAAAAAAATATCATTATAACTTTATCCAGCAATTTGAAGCTAAATATTGTCACAGCTTCATATGTTTACAGTGCACTATAGAAGAAGGCATGTCCGCGCACCCTGTAAATGCTGATAGATCCCCCAGTAGATGCGCAGGCAGTTCTTTTCTTTCTTCATGCCTCTTTTACAGCGGCAGTTATACAAAGGGCTCTGCTTTAAAGCGTCCAACGCAAGCCGGCATTCATCCTTCGCCTCCACTCCGGTCACCATACTGAAGTTGCTCTCCCTCCCCGCCACGCACTGCCTCATAGTTCGATACTTCGTGCTGCATCCCGGCTCCTTCAAACACAGCTCGTTCGCCTTCACACAGTCCAGCCGGTTTGAACTAGTAAAGTAAGACTCCTCGGCAGATAACAGCACATCTAAGGAGGACGACAATAGAAATAATCATATCACGGACAGGGTCGAGTTTTATTGAAATGCCTCAACGACTAGGCTACTCGAGACTGTTACAAGAGACATAAATAATAATAATAACAAATTAAAATTGAATTCGTTATACTTATTTTATTTATTTATTGTTTTTGTTTTTTTGTACATGAAACATTTCTCGAGTTGATATTGTTCAAGATTATAAGGATTTAATAAACTTAAGGTGCTTTAGAGATTAAAACATTAACACAAGATTTAAGCAGACTTAAGTGGAAAGTAAAACAGCTGGTCCTCAAAAGCTAAAATTTGCCCTAGTTTTGAGACAATTGTAACATCACATAGGCTAGAATATATTTATATATTGGACAGAATCAAAAAGACTACAATATGAGAAACTCTTTTTCTTATGGTCTTGTGATTACATCTGAGTTTTAATCTTAAATACAATGCTGCGTGTCTGTGTGCTAATCGATTGCTATATCATTTAGGCTACCAGTCAATCACTGAATATGTCAAATCGCATTCAAACTCACCCAACAGCGGTAAAACGAAGTAAATCGCGGCGAAAATCATTGCGCTTTTTATCCGTGGGTAAGTTCGTTCAAACACGCAAATTATTGTTTTGACGATGAAAAGAATAATCCTTTCTCATTCAGGTCCATTGAAACATCGTTAGTCACAATGTACATCCAGAGTATATAAGAAAAAAACCTAGCCCAAACCTGTCACTAATCGATATGGAATGGTTTATTGGATTAAGACTCATAGACAACGTTACAAAAAGAAAATGAGTCGCGAGGCAGCAGAATAAAACTCCAGCTCTCAAGATACGCTCGTGCGACTGAGCGCGCGACAGCACTGTGGCATTCAGTTGCGCTGTAACCCAAAACCGCACGCAACTCAGTGCACGCTCAGCGCTTCAGCGTGCAGCACGGGAACAGGACAAAGACATCCAGTTTCGCCACTCCAAAACTTGTCGTGTTTACTGCTCTCTGTTATTGTGTAACTATATATGAGGGTTATGCAAGTTGCTTGCTTTCTATTTCTCGTCAGTTGTTTAAGAAATTGCACTGCTGACGCTGAAAGCGCATTTGTTTGCCTGACCTGTAGATGGTGGTTGCACAGTCTGGTCTGAATGGTATTATATGAGTAGATTAGTCTGGTATGGCACTGGTACGTTGCTAACCAGCCAAATCAAGTAGGGTAAATAATTTACACGTATTGTTCCGCGTATCAAAGTCTAAATATCCAGATGCGTGTACATACTTACTAAATAAAATACTATACGAAACTACGAAGACATAGGTGATATCAGTCAAAATATAGTTTTGTTTCATGCATGATGATCACATATAGGTGACATCATTATGAAGACCGTCCCTTGGCGGTAGTAATTTATCAAACACGCAAATACATATTCTCATTCAATAAAAATAGGCTAAATTGCCTATACAAATAAATAATGCCGTTTTATTTAAGAACGCTATAATAGGCTACTTATTTGGCCACGAAACATTTAAAATGACTTTGTTTTTTGTTTTTTTACGTAATGACAATATTTGAATAGTTACTATGCTATGTCTTTCATTCTCAAAGTTTTGGTGCGATCTCGTTCACACAGTAGTTTATTGCTTATTGAAAGACTGGTGGAGGTCGCCATCTGTTGGTACGTATGTGCATCTTACTAATGAAATGACTAGACCAGTGGTTCTCCTCTCTCCAGAAAAGGTGCTTGATTTTGTACCTTTTCATAAACACAAATCAGGGTCATTAGCTATAGCCAGAGGCGGACAGTAACTAAGTACATTTACTTGAGTATTGTACTTAAGTACACTTTTTGAGTATCTGTACTTTACTTGAGTATTATTTTTTCTGGGAACTTATGACTTTAACTTCACTACATTTGAAAGACAAATATTGTACTTTTCACTCCACTACATTTCTATCAAGGTCCTC